ACATCCCGTTTTGGGTGGGTAAAGCTTCCAGGAAGTTCAGGGTCATATTTGGACGAGATAGAAAGGATGGAAGCCGATTTGGCTGCTAATATCACATTCACAATGAAACCACAATGGCGAAACAATGACACGATGATAATGAACGATACGGTGACATTTCAAGTGAGTAGACATTTACTGTGTGTTTGTACTATTCGCTCACTGATAGTTCCTTTTAGGATATCTGCATGAATTGGTACGGCGAATGCTATAGACATACAAATATGATCACACTATTGAAACGACGTCATGAATTGGAAGAAAGGTAGGTTAAAACTGAAGTTGGCCAGTTGAAGGGGCTGAACTGAAGGGGCTTAGCTCATCTATACCATCAGTTTTCAGGGGAATCACTGTCACATATCCTCAAGCAAATACTGGTGGAACACCAATTTATCTGGCATTCAATATCGGTGGTGTTGAGACGTTCCCAAATGACACCATAAAGGTAAGCCTTTACCTTCGGTCTTTCATCCATTGATGTGTTCAAAGTAGTAACTAGTGTTCAAAGTTCAAAGTAGCCTTGAAGAGTTAACTCGTGGTGTGTAGAAAGAATTACTGCAACTTATACTCAAGTCTCAAGTACAAAGTAAAAGGGTGGTTGGTGACGCAGTAGGAGTGAAAATAATTGTACAGGACTCAAAATCCTGGTTGGCAGTGGTAGTGAACACCCTCCTAGCCTGTGCAAAAATGCGCCCTTATGGTTCATATTACGATACTGTTGTTTTTCGACACTTGGACTTGGGTCAGCACATTTCTGAACAACAATTGTTATTGCCTATTCCTGCATCCAGCATTACCGTGTTAGTTAAGCGCCGTCACCATACTAGCTGGGGAAGAATTGGAAATGGCGAGAACATAACTAACTCGAGTTCAAAGTTACTTCACCTCCGTTCTCTTCTGTCTATGGTTTGACAAAAAGCGACCCTTGAGAAAATGACAATTTTTGTCTAGTCAAAATAAAGCACCCCCATTTGAGTGTAGTACGATAACGAAAAACGATCCTACACCCCTTCTAGACCCCCAGCCCCCTCCTACTTTAGAACGATAGCCTTCATAGTATTCTACGATACTGTTTATAGTGTGGCCTTTCCACTCACTCTTTCAAAACCCTCAAAAAAACCTTTTCGAAATGCAATGCCTTGAGCTTTGTTCCGTTTTTTCAAAAATTTCGTTTACCTTTGTTGTCCTTCCTCATTTTCATAGTGAGAGGGGGGCACTCAGTATTAGACTCCTACTGTCCCGATGGGCACTGAAGCAGTGACCGAACGTAACGGTACAAATCTACTCATTTGCAATATCTTCGGAAGTCCACGGGTTAATCTTTCAACCGAAATCTTTACCCTTTTCTTCCCCTACGTTTCTATACGGTAGCACTCTTTCTTTGTATTTACGAAGAATTTCTAGTTTGCATGAAGTCACCATGGTATCGTTGTCGAGAACTCGATTTTTTGACTATTAGCTTATTAGCTCAGTGACGGTTTCAGAGTGTTCATGCAATGAGAATATGGTATTTTCTGCGATTTGACACGCCGACGCTAGACGCTATGGCCAAGGAATGGGAAGAGGCAGGTGCGAAGTATGTTCGAGAGAAATACGGAGACAATCCACTAATAAAGGTTAGTCTATGTGGAGGGAGACTCTTAACCACCCCCATCGTTTTTCGTCCTTCTTGGAAGCGTCATCTCCTTTACCTAATAGCTCAACAGTTTCAGTGTCACATTAAGCACTCGCGAATAGTGGATCAAGGGCTCACAAACAACGCAAATCGCCTCAAACCCTACTTTGCTGTCACAGTGATTGTCCTAATCGCTTTCACTTCCCTTTATTCAATGAAATGGAACATCAAAGCCGACGATGGCTTCAGCGGTATGTATTACGCATTTGTCTGACTCATCTATGCACTAGTTTACCAATTTCTTAGAAGGGATGAGAGAAAATAGAGCTTTTTGGGCGTGGTGCAGCAAGTACGAAATTGTCGCGGCGTGGTGAGCGACGTCGCGTGCGAAGGAATGTAGCAAAATACAGCGGCAAGTAAGAAATACAGGAACAAAAGAAATAACAGTAGAATCACGCCAAAAGTAATAACCGCATAGCGATTGAGCTGTATGAAGAACGCTAGGACTGTTATAACGAGGTAAATGGTCCGCGACAGTCGCGTGCGGTGAATCGTTTATACAAAACCGTTCCTACTGCCCGTCTCGCGCGCTTTTTAGACCACTTGGGAAAGAAAAA